AGGTTGGACTCCTCTCCACGAAGCAGCAGCTCAGAGCAACCAAACCCTTCTGGAGCTCACATTCAAAGGTTTGTATTCACTTTATACTCATTAATGAAATAAAAGTGTGATGATAAAGAGGTTCATCAAATCAAATAGGTCAGTTCTCCAGTTTCAGGCCGAGCCTCTGTGAAGAGTCGTACTCTTCAGGGTCAGACTCCTCTCTTCCTGGCAGTAGAACGAGGTCTGATAGCAAACGCCTCCATCCTCCTCCAACATGGAGCTCTGCCGGACAGCCAGGACAAGGACAAGGACTCACCGCTGTTTGTAGGTAGGCTGACTCAACAGTTCACTGCCTCAAAGCCTGTTAAGCTGTTGTGGCCAAAGAAGAGGTTAAATGTCCACTTTGACTGTGGAACTACTATTATTATGACTCCTGCGTTAATTTCAAAGCAGGATTTTACTGTTGTAGTTGGTTGATGTGAAGCTCATTTTAAAGGTCCGGTGTGTAACATTTAGGAACGGACAGTCGCGTTTTTCTTAAGTTTAGTTTTAATTTATTTGAGTTGTAATCTGACACTTCACCACTAGATGGCACTAATTCCTACACTGCAACTATTGGTTATGTCTTATTATGGATGAATCTGCTGATCATTTTCTCAATTCATTGTTTGGTTTGTTAAAATCTTAAAATAGTCAGAAAAGACGTCACAATTAATAAATTAAAATAATAAAAAGTAAAAGCAGTAAATCCTCACATTTGTGAAGCCGGAGCCATGAAATGCTTTTGCATGAAAGGGACTATTGTGATTATTATTGAATAGTTGGCAATTAATTCTAAATATGAATTGACTAATTGATTAATAATTATCTTAAACTTACCAATTTATAACAGAATATTGTGTTTTATAAGCACTTAATATGTTTTTTATGGAAATATTTTATTTGTACAGTAACCAGTAACTAATGTGAATGAAAGAAAATGTTATATATAAAGTTTGTGCTTTTGAGTTAATGTACGCCCTCTGCAGCCATCCGTTCAGAACGCACTGACCTAGTGAAGCTGCTGCTCCAGTGGGGCGCCATGGTGAACCAGTCGGGCAGCCATGGTCGCCGACCCCTCCACGAGGCCGCACGGCGGGGCAAAATTGAGCTGGTGAACCTGCTGCTGTTGGCTGGAGCACATCCAGACCCTCGCAGCCACTACAGCCTCACACCGCTGGCACTGGCCGCTCAGGGAGGACACCTGGAGGTGGTGGAGACTCTCCTGAGGAAAAGTGAGAGAGTCAGTTACTCTCACTATTATACTATAGTACATATCTATATATATACATACATTTATCAGGATTATCTCTTTAACACTTAAACTGGATATGGTACATTAGAACTGGAGCAGATGGTAAATGGATCTGGGTGCAGGGACTGTATGTATAAATTATTGATTTGGGGAGGAATTGAACTCCTGCAGTGTTTTATATTTCAAAATATTATATATTAAGTTGGTCCAGTTGGTCTGATTTTAGAAGTCGGGTTGATAGATTCAGTTAGAGGTTATTCAACTATAAAAAGAAAACGTGACTTAAGTTAAAATCATTCTAGCAAAAAAGTACATTTCTCTCAAATTGGTTTTAGGCTTTCCAAATATAAATTCAGTGTATATTTCAACATTTTTAATACACTAACACCACTTAAAATCACATTTGTTTGTTATTAATAGAAACCTCTAATAATCTGTGTCCTTTACTGACTTATCTTTCAATTGTAGCATATTTTAAAAGAAAATATTGACTGTAAGTTTGTAGTATTGTTTCAACCCTGAACATCAGACCAGTTTACTTACATACTCAGGACAGAAAATCAATTTGGATTTGGTTTGTAAACATAAACTGCTTAGCATAGCTAGCAGGCTAATAACAAACACTTCTCCTTCTCTGCTGCTTGTATTAGCTCACCTGCAGTTCCTCAGTGGTGGAAAGAACATCTACTCAAGTATTGTACTTATGACTTTGATATTTACCTTCTTTTTTTGCTGCTTTATACTTAAACTTCACTTTATTTGACAAACATTGTATTTTTTCCTCAACTACATTTATTTGATAGTTACATTGTATGTTTGGATTTTAAAAACAAACCATATAATCAGCTGATAAAACTAAACCAATGCATCAGTAACAATATATAACTCTGACAAGGATTAATCTTTCTCCTAATGATACTTTAATATAACGTCCTGTGTAAAAATGTATTATGATGAGCTGCAGTTCAAATGAGGCTTCATTAGATAAATAAACTGGATATTTTCCCGCAGGGGCCAACGTCCTGTCCCAGGCGGAGGATAAGGCATCCGTATTGTTCGAGGCGTCTGCGTCTGGAGATCCATCTGTCATCAGTCTCTTGCTGGAATATGGCGCCGACCCGAACGTGCCCAGACTCACAGGACACATGCCAATCCACCGCGTGGCACACCGAGGACACCTGCAGTAAATGAGCTCATCATTGGCTTTACTCCGCAAAGTAGTTACAAACTACAGCATCAGATCAATGAAGTGGAGGTTTCTGTGTGTGTGTGTGT